ATCTGTGCTCTCAACCAGGCCGGCCTTTTCAACCCCCCCTGCAAGTTGCTCCTAACCAAGATCCTCTTACACCTGGGGCCGTACGTCATACTGTATGCCCTAAACACCCGAAACTCAATAGGAGAACATCTGAACATGTCCCGAGGTCCTTTGGAGTTCCTAAACCCTAAGCCCTAAACCCTCAACCGTAAACCCTAAACCCTAATGGCGACCCTCAGCCTTCCAAACTCCTCAGCTAACGCCAAGGAGCGGTTTGCTTCGGCAAGCCCCGCTGCGGAGAATCCTGCCTGTGCCAGGGGGTTTAGGGGTCTAGGGGTCTCGGGGTCTAGTTGTTTAAATCATGAGCCCTCTTTGGGCACCGTTTGTGTTTATGCACCTCTATGTACTTACTAGCTACGATTCATAAGGTCTGGTTGGCGGGGATTAGAAGGGCTTGGGGTCAGCACACGTCCCCCCCAAAATGGTCTTCAAGCATCTTTTCTGACAGCCCTCAAGACCCTGCAGCCTTGACTGCAAATCCTATAGCCTACCTTCAAACCCTGCACACTGGCCCAACCCCTTAAAAAACACCCAACGAAAACCTTCAGTTTCAAAACCCGAAAGCCCAAAACTTGCCAAGCCCTAAAACCCCCTAAAACCCCCTAAACCCTAACCCTAAACCCTAAACCCTGAACCCTAAACCCTAAACCCTAAGCGGGTCCGTGCGGAGCTCTGAGAGCGAGAATCCGCAGCTCCTGGTCTCTAGGGTTTAGGGTTTAGGGTTTAGGGGTCAGGCTTTAGGGTCTTTGGTCTTTGGTCTTTGGGCTTTGGGGTTCTTGGGTTCTCGGGCTTGGGGGGTTCAGGGTTGCAAGGTTCCAGGGCTTCCTTGTTGAGGGCTTTGGGGGGTTTGGCGCCTTAGGGCTCCAGGGTTTTTGAGAGGGGTTTTAGGGGCCGTAGAGGTTTCAGGGCTTTTTCTGTGTTCTAGGGTTTTTAGTGTTTTTTTTGTTTTTCGGTGTCGTGCCTTAGGGTTTAGGGTTTCAGGGTTGAGCGCGTTTCGGGATGAGGGGTTAGGGTCTTGGGACTTAGCCGTCTGGGTTTTACAGGGTCTGGGGTTGGGTTTCTGTGGGGGAGAGAGGTTGGGGTTTCTGCGTGCATGAGGCTGTGGGTTTTTCAAGGCTTGCTGAGGGAGCCGTTTATGTCAAGCGCACATGAGAGTTCTTCTCTGCCCAAAACCCTAAACCCTAAACCCTGAACCGCAAATTTCAATACCCAAAACCCGAAATACCCTCAACCCTAAACCCACCCTAAACCCTAAACCCTAAACCCTAAACCCTAAACCCTAAACCCTAAACCCTAAACCCTAAACCCTAAACCCTAAACCCTAAACCCGAAACCCTAAACCCAAAAAAACCTATAAGTAGGTCGACCTTGGAGGATGAAGGCCTAAGCCTTTCCCAGGGTTACCCTGTCTCAGGCTGAGGATACGAGAGCCTTTATTTTACGACTAGCCCAAAAGAAGGGGCAGGGGTGTAAACCTCTAGGTATGTGACACCTACAGTAAACTCTTCGCGCAGTTACATGGTCCCTGATTGTGGACCCTAAACCTTAAACCCTAAACCCTAAACCCTAAACACTAAGCCCTAAACCCTAAACCCTAAACCCTAAACCCTAAACCAAACGGGACCTGTTATATGCCCCTTATATACCCTTTTCAAGCCAAGGGCCGAACTCTTTAAAGGATTCAAGGGGCCATATCAAGGGGGACCATATAACTACCCTTAGCTAAAACCTAAACCCTAAACCCTAAACCCTATACCCTAGACCCTAAACCCTATGTCAGCAGCCCTGACTACTGTAGCCTATCACAGCTCTGGGCGAATCTGAATCGGTAATTGAGGTCGTTTTGTGTTTAAGGTTTAGGGTTGGGATGTTCCCCCTTATACTAGCATTCCTGAATCGGGATTATAACAAGGGACTACAACCCCTGTTAAGCATCCCAAGTTTAGGGTTTAGGGCCATGAAGCCCAACGAAGATCCAGCAAAGAAGCCAGTGCCCTGCGGAGCTCCTCAACTCAACAATGCCTAGACCTGCGCGGCGGAGGTCCGCGGCGGTGTAGCCTCAAATGCTATAAACCCTAAGCCCTACAACCTTTGGCTCCTGAACCCTGTAAGCCTTCTAACCGTTTAGGTCAGGGTTTAGGGTTTAGGGTTTACGGGGGAGGGGGGGTGTCTTGCGGTTGGGCTGGAAAGGAATCGAAAGCCGCATGAACACTGCTGTAGACTACTCTCACGACTACTCTCGCCGTAGCCCGTAGAGACAGAGCATGCCAAAACCGAAGCACGAATACCTTGGCCCTTGTCCCCTTGTACCCCCCGAGTGCGTTGAAGATAACACCTCCCTCCTGTGCCATACTCCTTAACTTAACAACCCCATACCCTTAGCCGTCAAACCCCTTAACATCAAGTCTTACACCCGCTTGATCGCTTAGTTGTCCAGCGTCCGGGGCTACTCACAGTTGTCCTTCGGGAATATGTACGGATTAGAATACCCCAGAAAGGTTAAAGGTTACCTGCTCTACTACTTAAGTTTGATTCGACGCCCCTCAACCCGAAACCCTAGATGACGTAAGTCTTCCTAGACAGATGCCTGCTGCAGCATATTGACACGCAAGGAGAAATCTTGGATCCCCAAACCCTTCGGCCCTTTGAACCCAGGCCCCCCCTGGACCTGAAACCCTTGTACCTTCAAGTATAGGCTCCTTACATGTATTAAACCCGAAACCCTAAACCCTAAGCCCTAATTAACCTCTAAACCCTGGAAACCCGGGCCCCCTAGACCTTCAAACCTGTGCCTTAGATTCCTACACCCAAGAATAACCTAGGAATAAAAAGTGGGTACTCTTTTTTGTTTAAAGCTGCTTAGAAGGGAACCTAAACCCCCCAAAAAGGGAATAAGGGCCCACTCTGGCCTACTCTGGATCATGGGATTCTGCCTTCCCTCATTCTCCGTCCCTGGTAGCAAGCATAAGTCAGGGAAAGCGATCACCTTGTGAGGACTCTTCCTTCAACTGTAGGGGTCCTTAAATACATTTTAAACCCTAAGCCCTAACTCGTTACCCCAAACCCCAAACCCTAAACCTGTTTCCCTGCACGCGAAACCCTGTACTACTGAATCGAGGGTCTACTGGGGCTCTCCGGGTAACCCTGCACCTCTCGCAACCCCATTTCATGCGCGGCGGAAGCCTGCGCGGCGCAGCTCCAGCGCTGAGAAGCCACCATCTTGATAGAGCTTTCCTTGTTTCGGGCTTGAGGTTTAGGGTTTAGGGCTTCGGGTTTAGGGCTTAGGGCTTCGGGTTTAGGGTTTAGGGTTTAGGGTGGGGTTCGGGGTTTGGGGTTTGGGGTTTAGGTTTTAAGGCTCTCGCCTCCTACCGCAGGTAGCGCTTAGGCTTGTTCTTCCCGCCCGCCTGGCGGTGCTCCGCGGAGCAAACTGAGGAGCGCAAAAGGCCCAACTCAAGTGGGGTCTTCCCCTAAACCCTTGTTACGGCTAGGACTGCTCCACTGCACCCTAAACCCTAAACCTTAAACCTTAAACCCTAAACCCTAAGCCCTAAGCCCTTTTTCCGCTGGACTGAAACGCTAAACCCCGCCCGCTCCTTCTGATGTTCCCAGCTTCAAACCCATTGAAGCACCCCAAGTGTCAGTGAACACTTCTTGATCCTGAACCTTCACAGCAAATTGGTACCTCACAAGGCATAACTTGACTTCGTTATTCTCTACTCAATATACCCGCGAAATCTTTTTTTGGGGGGAGGATTTGAACCCTAAACCCTAAACCCTCAGAAAAATGGGGGGGGTTTTACCTTATTCGGGTCCTTTTATCGGGGAATCCTACTATTTGGGGGTCTAGCTTAGGGGTCCCCCTAAACCCTTAAACCCTTAAACCCTTAAACCCTTTAACCCTTAAAACTCTTAAACCCTTAAACCCTTAAACCCTTAAACCCTTAAACCCTTAAACCCTTAAACCCTTAAACCCTTAAACCCTTAAACCCTTAAACCCTAAACCCTAAACCCTACACCTGAAACAAAGGGGGGAGGGGGCATTGTACAGTTCAGGATTGAGATGCGGTACAAGAGTCTGGCTGGTATTCGGATGGCCTCGAAGTCTTTCAATGTGAAACCTGACCTGGGCAGGGTTTAGGGTTTAGGGTTTAGGGTTTAGGGTTTAGGGTTTCGGGTTTGGGGTTTAGGGTTTAGGGTTTAGGGTTTAGGGTTAGGGAGCATTCGACCTGGTATGATGAGTCGAACATCGACCTCCCCACACGAGCTGAGGTGTAATCTGCATGTCTCAGGGCCCACGACTTGCGACCGGAACTGCAACGATGAGCCGAACGCGGTGCTGAAGTGCAGTTTACCCCCAAAAGTCGTGTGTACCTTTGCGTATACACTGGGGCCTTAAGTGGATTCTCATATTTATTCCACATCTACTGTTTGCTTAAGAACCCCCCAAAAAATGCAAGATAACTGTCCCGACGTTGCCCTTATAAGGAACTTCTTTGTTGGAGGGGCGTGGGGTTCATAAGCAAGTAGGAGGCATAGGCTGGGATGGTCCCCCTTATACCAACAGTCCTGAGTAAGGACTATAATGAGGGGCACTCTAATCCCTATTAAGGACTGTTAATATAAGGGGAACAGCCCAACCTAAACCCGAAACCCGAAACCCTACGCCCTAAAACCTTAACCCTAAACCCTAAACCCTACACCCTAAACCCACGTAAGATGTACATGTGACGGTGGCTTTCTTAAGGCCGAAGCATTCCCCGCCCTACCGACTTAGGGTTTAGGGTACCTAAACCCTAAACCCTAAACCCTAAACCCTAAACCCTAAACCCTAAACCCTAAACCCTACACTCGGTTTGTGTTGGGTAATAGTTGCCATAGCCCAAAACGTCTTTGCACTCTTGGCTGGCCTTTAACTGCGGCCGAAGCAAGACCTCTTGCGGGACATGTGGCATAAGGAGCTCCTTGACAGTGAAGCCCTCCTCGTAGAGATTCGCGCAGGTGCAGGTCCTCGAGTCGTGAGCAGCGTGACCGAAACGAAGCGAAGCTAAACGAAACGACTGAGTAGGACTGAATAAGGGTCCCAAGTACCTAAACAGGGAATACTTGGGCCTTAAAGTACTTCCTTTAGAAGGACTTTGGGGCCCAAGAATATAATAATCGGGTACATGGACCCTTAGGGAATGCCATGACACACTTAGCTGCTAAGTTCATAAGGTGCACACTTTCAGTTCTGTAGGGGAGTAGAGTATCCCAAAAAAGTGTAAAGTGCACTCACTCAGCTGTCATGGAGCAGCAGAAGCAAGAAGCCAAACCTGAATCCTTCAACATCGGCGTCGGGCCACAAGCTTCAACCCTAAACGCCAAAGCCCAAACACCAACAGCAGCAAGAGACCCTAAACCCTAAACCCTAAGCCCTAAGCCCTAAGCCCTAAGCCCAAAGCCCAAAGCCCAAAGCCCAAAGCCCAAAGCCCAAAACCCAAAACCCAAAACCCTAAACCCTAACCCGCAGGTCAGGGTTCTCTGGGTTAACTTCGCGATACTTGCGCCGCTTCATGAGTCTGACAATGACGATGCAAAACTGCGAAAAGTCCTGGGAGCCGCTTTCGGTTTAGGGTTTAGGATTAGGGTTTAGGGTTTAGGGTTTAGGATTTAGCGGGGTGTTCAGGAAGCCCAAAACATCCCTAAAGCCCTAGGGAGTACTTGTGGTGTCGGGTTCCCGTGGACTAGAAGGTTGAGATTGATTGCTGCAGGGCTGCGCTGTTCCGCTTCTTGGGACGGGATGTGTCGGGTACTATAGGGTCGGAATAAATGCTAATCATATCCCCTTTTGGTCCCTACACAATTATACTATAATGACCCTGAAAACCCTATTCTACTTGCTAAGGTCCCTATTGTAATTACGTCGGGTTGTATAGGGGTCGGAATAAATACTGATAGTATTCACTTTTGGTCCCTACATAAATATACTACAGTGACCCTGAAAACCCTTTATGGTTTAGGGTTTAGGGTTTAGGGTTCTATAGTAGGATAAAGGCGACCCATGGAGCCACGATGCTCTAGACTTCTCAGGATTGTAGGCCCCAAACAAGCCAAGAGTGTCGAGACCGTGTCTTCTTTGCCCATCGCTGACGGGGCGGTCTACGTAAAACCATGAGGGTTTCCAGTGGAACGCTAAACCCTAAACCCTAAACCCTAAACCCTAAACCCTAAACCCTAAACTCTACTGAGAGCCATGGCCTTCACGCTCAAAAACTCCAAATTGTCTCTCTATGATAAGGTTCCATGCAACAGCCTGCCTAGCAAAAACAGCATCCTGCATCAGTACGGTCTCATGCCCGCCCCTTTTGCACAGCGCGGTTTAGGGTTTAGGGTTTAGGGTGTAGGGTTTAGGGTCTAAAGGGAGAGCAGAAGGGGCGGGATGCTTGGGGAGGATGTAGGGAGGAATGGTTCGGGGCAAGCCACACCCATGCGCCCAACTCCTCGACCGCCTGTTAGAACCCTGCAGCCAGGGTCCTATGCTGAATGCCAAGGTGCCAGCATCGTCTTCTTGTCAATGGCCATCTCCTTCTTGGGCAGGTGCTTCGTGCACAGTCGTGAAACTAACTCAACGCCTCAAGGCCCACAATTGCACTTGAAGGTCCCTTGTCCGACCCTGCAATGCAATATTACCCTAAAAATTACCCTTGCCTGACCTGTGTCGTTAAACACTCAGACCCAAGCGCCAAAACATGTAACTTACTCAAACCTCCCTCAGCCCTAAACCCAGCTTGCCAGCCTCCCAGATGCGTGTGAGATGACGGCGCACACGGACGAAGCCAGTGTTCCGAAGGGTATCTGCAACCTGCACTCCAGGGCTCTCGGCCCAAGGATTGAGGGTTAAGCCGTTTAACCGTTTGGGGTTTAGGGTTTTAGGGTTTAGGGTTTAGGGAACCCTTCTTGCATGAGTCTTTCAGGGTCTCGCCCGGTTCTGCTCGGGCTCTGCACCTTACACAGGTGCAGCTAGAGCGTAAACCCTCGACCTCAATCGCTGTCTTAAGCTCAGGCACGGCTTCCTGCTTGGTAGGCGGTAAGTCAGATTTCGGGCAGCCGAAAAGAGACTTCGTTTGAAGTCCTTCACTACATTTGCTCTCTCTTTTTTAAGAAAGCTACTGTCCATGCGGTGATTGAATGAAAGTCCCCACCATCGCAGAGTTTCCCAAGACTGAAGGGGGGGGGTCCCTTTTTTGGGTTCCTCTGAGAAGGAGTGTAGCGTTTTGATGTATGTTCTTTCTTTTGTTTTTCTCACTTCTTTTCTTGGAGGTGGGGGTAATAAACTAGGGTACCCTATTTCGGACATAACCAGAGGTGCTCAAGCCTCTCTCGGCCAATTGAATCTCGACTCGTGCTTCTTTTTCTTCTCGGTTGGCCCCTAGAGAGCCCCTTGTTCTGAACCCAATCACCCTAAGCCCTAAACCCCAAACCCCAAACCCTAACAACGAATCTCAAGGGTCGACCTCGTCTTCTTGGCCAAGAAGCCCAGTTGTAGAATAGATGCGGGGCATCAAACTTGCCCAAAACATCCGAAACCCTAAGCCCTGAGATCATGACCGGCCATGTGCTCTTTTTTTGAGCTCAAATAATTCATTTTGTGCTTCTGTGGTTGCCAGGACTGGACCACATGGGCTGGAGGTCTACCCTTTCAACAGGCACACTTCGGGTCTGGGGCCTAGGGTGCTTACGAGGCAAAAGGTTTGGGGTTTGGGGTTTGGGTTTGGGTTTTGGGGTTTGGGGTTTAGTGTTTCGGGTTTAGGGGTACATGAAGTCCGAAAGTGCCAGGAGGCCTGCTTTCGGTTCAACTCTGACTTGCCGCCGCTTGCTTCCTGGCCGGCAGGAGTGCAAGTCAGGCTTTGAGGGTTTAACCCGAAACCCGAAACCCTAAACCCTATAAACCCTAAACCCTATACTACCCTTATGAAAAAGAATCTTTCTGAATTTTCGGGGAGTTCTTAAGCAAACAGTAGGATCAGAGCCTCGAGCCTCTGCGACTCGAGCTAAACTGTCTTACTGTTTTCAAATCGGGTTCAGGGTTCAGGGCTTAGGGCTTAGGGCTTGGGGCTTAGGGCTTAGGGCTTAGGGCTCAGGGTTTAGAGGGCCTGCTTTCAGCCCAACTGGGAAAACTGCTCGCAGCAGAAGTCGTTGCTCTCTCGGCGAAGCTCACAACGCGGGTGTGGTGTGCAGCAGTTCCTTGGCCAACCTCTTGAGGGTTTAGGGTTAAGGGTTTAGGGTTTGGGGTTTAGGGTTTGACACACAGTGACTTTCGCTAGCCTCGGGATTTCGGGTTCAAGGGTGAAGTCCGGGTGGCAATTGTACCGAATCCGGAGGTGTGGCCACCATCAGGGTATACTTTTCCTAATCTAAAACCTACCCCCTAAACCCTAAACTAATAACTCTCAACCCTAAACCCCAAACCCTGAACCCTAAACCCTAAACCCAAAACCCAAAACCCAAATCCCAGAACCCTAAACCCTAAACCCTAAACCCAAAACCCTAAACCCTAAACCCTAAACCCTAAACGCTAAACCCTAAACCCTAAACCCTAAACCCTAAACCCTAACTCAAGGGCTCCCTGGTCATCCCAGCTCCAGTCCTGAAACATCGCTCTGTAGGATGCCACCTCTTCGGATTCAAGATACCTGCAGTCGTTGTTTGGGTTTAGGGTTTAGGGTTTAGGGTTTAGGGTTTAGGGTTTAGGGTTTAGGGTCTAGGGTTTAGGGTTTAGGGTTTAGGGTTTAGGGCTTAGGGCTTAGGGCTTAGGGCTTAGGGCTTAGGGTTCAGGGTTGGGGTTTGGGGTTTGGGATTAGGGTTTTAGGGTTTAGGCTTTTTTGTCGCTCCCGCATAGCTGACACGAAGTCACTCAGCAGGGTTTACTAGTGGGCGTTCCATATGCGCCAAATCAGCGGAGCATGAAAGCCTCCAGCCAACATCAAGGGGTAGAAGGAGGGACCCCTAGAAGGGACCCTTAATCTTCTTCCCCTATATAACCCTCTTATATATATATATATATATATTTATATTTATATGTATATATATATATATACCACATATAGTCCCTATATATACCTTATATAGTCCCTATATACCTAAGTAGCCCCTAAATAGCCCCCAAAGAACCTCTAAGGTCCCTTGTAAGGGTACCTGCAGCGGTCGGTCATGGTGGCTTACAGGGAGCACAATGATGCCCGCTTTGTTAAGGAATACACCCTTAAACCCTAGACCCTAAACCCCTCATGATAAGAAGTGCCATAGGCTAATATTCCTTAGTTAAAGGGTATTGGGCCCATTGTGCCCGCCGATGTCTTGTGTCTTGTGTCAGAGGACGTTTTCGGGACACATGCAGTACTGGGCCGCGAGAGGTTTTGTCCACGCCCCTTTCCGAAACAAAAACGGCCGGAACCGTAATATCGCTACAGCTTACCGGTCACTAGTACGGAGATAGGGAATTAGGTTTCTTTGCCAGCTGAACTCTCTGAGAACCGGGAAGATGCGATGACATTTGGGATTTGGAGGTGTGCTTCGCGACGCGGTGAAAAGCCCCTAGGAAGGAGCCGGGCCGCCACCTTTCATCTACATATGTTTCGCGCCGCGGGGGAGCTTCACTAGCTTGTGCTGAATTCAATATGGGTTGGGATGTTCCCCCTTATACTAACAGTCCTTAATAGGGAGTATAGTACCCCCTATCATGATCTCAATAAGGGCTGTTCGTACAACGGGAACATCCCAAAATATGCGATTCTAAGAAAAGAAGTCTAGGTACTGACTGAGGATCCATTATGAAACTTAAACCCTAGACCCTAAACCCTAAACCCTAAACAAACCAACTAAACGACAAGACCAGGGTGGCCTCAAAGCATCCTCGGCCCTGTGCCCATAAGCTCAAACACGCTGCAGGCACACGACGCAAACCAAGAGCTGTAGTGTGGGTTTAGGGTTAGGGTTTAGGGTTTAGGGTTTAGGGTTTAGGGTTTAGGGTTTAGGGTTTAGGGTTTAGGGTTTAGGGTTTAGGGTTTAGGGTTTAGGGGTTAGGGCTTAGGGTTTAGGGTTCAGGGTTCAGGGTTCAGGGTCTAGGGTGTAGGGTTTAGGGTTTAGAGTCTCCTTGCTGAAGCCCTCAAGCCCTAAACTCCTACATGCAGTCCTTTCGTACGCAGCAAAATGCTCCTGGGAACTCAACAGGCCTTTTGAAGGAGCTTAGTTCAGAAGAGCCCCTATAGCCTCTTCCCTAAATGCAGGCGTGTTGGGCTCCCTGTGCCTATAACCAGCAACAAGCCCCCCCCCCCCTCCCCCTTGCCCGCTCCCCAAACTCTGGTGCGATGGCGGGGGGCTCCCGGTAGTTGATCATCTTCTGCGCATTCGTTATGAGCGCCCATAGGGCGCAGAAGCACGGAAAGTTGATATGCCCTGCTGCCGCCGACTCGACCTGTGACCTGTGGGCGAAATGCATCTTTCTGGGTGCTTTAGGCCTCTAGTGTACAAGTTTTATCTTGAGAAGCCCAAACCTACTATTTTGTAGGCTCATATTATAAACAACCCCTTATACGATTCTTAGGAAATCTACAAAAAAGCAGGTTTTGGGTTCTTAAGGTAGGGCTTGGCAGCAGGAAAAGAGAAACCCACCAGTGCAAGGACAAAAATAAAAAGAAAGCACAAGCACTAAGCCCGTAACCCGAAACCCGAAAGTCCCTAAACCCTAAACCCTAAACCCTAAACCCTGAAAAACCCAAATCTCAAGCCCAGGTGCAGAAGGCCCATCACATCGTCCATGGTGACCTTGACGTCCTGCTGTTCCGCGATCTTCCTTCTCTCCAGAACAAGGGGTTTAGGGTGCGAGGGTGTTTGGCGCTTTGAGCCAGTCAGCATTATCTGAGCAAAGCTCTACGCCGTAAACCGCAAACATTTTCCTTAGGGTAGTTATTACATGGCCCCTTATTACGGGCCGCTATAAGGGGACCCCTTATATACCCCTTTTATACCCTATACAGCCCAAGGGCCCATACATCAGAACCCTTTAAAGAGGCTACGGGACCATATAAAGGGCCCATGAAGCAGGGCCCGGCTAATGCAAAGCTCTGGTTGCAAAGGTTCCAAGACTCAGGGTTATTATAGTATAAGTATATACGGACCATAAGGGATAGCCATTCGTAATTATTCGGACCCTCATATCAACCAGGTTGGTCGTCGCCAGCCGCGTACTTTCATGCAAAGTCTCGTCCAGCAACTTGAGGCATCCAACCCCCCAAGGTCTATTCGTCCATAAGCCCAAGCCCAAAAGTTTAGGGCTTAGGGTTTAGGGCTTAGGGATCACAGACCGGGGATTCCGAGAAGTTCTTTGAATCACCAGCAATTGTGAACGGCCCTCCAGTGTCTGGGATAAAAATTAGGGGGACCCGTGGGGATATAGACCCTCCCAAGAACGTCCCTGTTTAAGAGAGCCAGAAAGAGGGTTGGGAAGGGTGCCCTGTTAAGGGTCCTTTTGCAACCCTAAACCCTAAACCCGAAACCCAAAACCCAAAACCCAAACCCCAAAACCCAAAACCCTAAACCCTAAACCCTAATCCTACCTAGGACAGTGGCCAGGGTGCAGAGCATCGTCAATCGAGATCGCGCCCGAGTCATCCATATCGTTCAAGGAGAACCACTGCTCCAGCTGCTTGATGACCTTTTCCTCCAGGGCTCCAAGTATGGGCCTTTCATTTAGGTCCCTTCTTATATAACCCTTATATACACTATACATAATAATAACTAGTTCATGGTTGGGATAGCATTAATTGTTTTGAAACAAGAATCCTTATTGGGTTTAAGTACCCTAAAAAATGAACAATGTTGCCCAATTATGACAAAGATAAAGGCCCATAGATCAGATCCCGTTGAACAAGGGTAAGGACGCATGCTAAGGGCCCACAGCTCCGACCTGAGATTCCTGAGGTCGAGTACGCTATGGTCTTACTATGGGATTTCTTGTTCCATCAACCTATACACAACCAACGAAAACCTCTTACTGTTGGATTTCTTGTTCCATCAACCTTTCTACAACCACCGCAAACCCATGCAGGTTCACCGACGGCGTGTTCAACACCCCAAACTGCGCAACATGTAACCAGGCTCAGGATTCATAGGCCTGCCTGCATACAATGACCAATGCACGAGCTCCTGCATATGCCCTACTGATATTCCTACTATATGATGTACGGCCACTACGACGACGACATCTTCGACGATAACGGCATTGACAGCTACAAGCTCTATAACCCACCGCGACCACAGCCACAACGAACTGAATATACTGCTGCGATACTGGCTGCTGCTGCTTTTTGCGAAGGTGACCCAGCGCCCTGTGCCGGAAACCCGAAGCCAAACAGCAAACTCAGTTGCTGTGACCCCCTCGTCTCCTAAGCCGGCCAACGCCCTAAACCGCCCCCAATCCCCCCCCCCCCCCCCCTTTCCGCACACATATCATCCCATTATCCCACTTCCCACTCTGTGACCCCATCGCACTTCTTCAAAAACTAACCCTAAACCCGAAACCCTAAACCCGAAACCCTAAACCCTAAACCCTAAACCCGAAAAGACTCCCACATCCATCCAAGAGAGCAAAACTTTGGCAGACCAAAGGACAGTAAGGAACGTCTTGTAGTCGATCAAATGAACTTGGGGCCTAGCGCCGGACCTGGGCTTGTGGCACGAAGGCTTTTGGGCAAAAGAGTGGAGCATTTAGGGGCCCTAAACCCTAAACCCTAAACCTGAACCCTAAACCCTAAACCCTAAACCCTAACATGTCTTTTGCCCCTTTTTGCATCAGGCCTTGTGCAATCGCCTGAAGGTTTGAACACACGGACACTCAGTGCTGGTGACTGCACCTGAACCCTAAACCTTGGGTGCCCCTTTCTTACTTGCTGCAATCAACCCTAAACCCTAAACCCGAAACCCTAAACCCTAAACCCTAAACCCTGCAGGCTTCCAAGGCTTTTCGTATTTTGGAGGCTTGCGGTTGGCATTCTGAGTTTTGCCAAAGCCGCGACTACTCAGCAAAGAACAAACCTCGAGCCCCACACTACATGCTCCTGAAAGACGTCCTCTTAAACCCAAGAAGGGACAATGCCGAATGTCAAGCCTTAAACCCTAAACCCGAAACCCGAAACCCTAAACCCCAGGCCCAAGCCCTAAACCCTAAACCCGAATACCAAGTAGAGTAGGCCCAGCGACATGACGATCTCCAGGTAGCAGAGCTCCTCGAAGTCGATCTCCCCGTTCCCATCCTCTTGGATTTAGGGGTAGGGTGGAGGGTGTAGGGTGTAGGGTTTAGGGTTAGGGTGCCAGACTATTCCCCTACTTGCTGGTTCTTAGAAGACCAAATGAGGTACTGAGGTACCCTATATCCTCCTAAATATACCTTTTAAGGGCTTATGTAGGGTACCTCATTTCCCCTATTTCCTACTAAGAACCAGGATGGCTCATGACGTTGATTCCGATGTAGCTTGCTCGAGAAAAGAAAGTATCTCAACTTATCCCCGTTCCCTGTACGGAGTTCTTGAAACAAGTACCTTCTATATCCCCGACATAACGCTTGAAGGGGCTTTCGAGGGCAGCTGAATCCCTCCCTACCTACTAAGAACTAGTAAGAGCCAAAGCCGGGTTTTAAGTTCAGGTTCAGGCACGTTACAACCCTGCTCTCCCCTAATCGTAGCCTCTGCTGAGAAGCATGGACCTTTAGGCATACAAAATGATGATGGGCTCAACTTAACCCGAAGCCCTAAACCCCAAACCCACAACCCTGACTCCAACCTCTGCTTTTGGAGGGGTGAACGTAAGCGAGAGGGGTTGTCCTGTCCCGAGGTGTTGCCGCCACAGCTTCGGGGACTTGAAGAAACAGCTCGTACCAGAGGCTGACTACACCTCCTCACCCTGAGAACCAGAGTAAAGAAAATGCTTGAAGCTTGCGCTGGCTCTTTATAAGTAGCCTTGGGCGAGGGGGGGGGGCGTTTGAGTTGAGATGAAGGGGCTTAGGGTTGAAGGTTTCAGTCCTACTTTTTCTAGCACTGAGCTTGGAATTCTGCAATCTCTGTGTGCCGCTGAGGGTCGGAGTCAATCTCTCGAACGATTGCGTCGACTTGCTTCTTTGTCAACGTCTTGCCGAGTTTGGCAAATAAGTCGCCTGGCGAACCGGGGACAGGAACCCTAAACCCTAGACCCTAAACCCAGGTGCCCTGCAGGCACTTCAGTGCCGGCATCCACTTCAAACTTTAATCCCTTAAGACAGCCGGGGTTTATAGGGTTTAGAGTCCTGGCAATAGCCCTACTCGCACTGAGCAGAAAGATGGCGTGCAAAGTCTCTCCGGCAGTACTTGGAAGCCCTTTTCGACTTAGTAGGTCTACTTAGTATCCCCCAGAAACCTGTGAATAACCCCCCGGTTCTTAGTGCGGAATGAGGGCCCTATCCCTGACCCTAAACCCTATACGATTCCCTACTAAGAACCAGCCAGGTGAATGATCCCCATAACCCAACTCTTCGACTTCCTGGACACTGGGCTGTCAACTACAATGCAACCAGAGAAGTTCACGTCCGCAGGAGATGGTTGCTGCAGACCCACTGGAGAACTTCTGAAACCCACCTTTCTTGCGTAAGCCCTAACCCTGCCCCTAAACTTGCCAGCAATCCCTAAACCCTAATCTGAACCCTAAACCTAAGGCCCTCAACCCTAAACCCTAAACCCTAAACCCTAAACCCTAAACCCTGCAAGTTCGCAAAGTGGCGAAGCTCATCTTTGCCAATCGAGCCATCACCGCTGGTGTCGAACTCCAGGAAAGCTTGCTCTAGAGCATCAAGCGTCTCCTGGTCAGGTGAACAAGGGCCCATGGGCCTTAAGGGTCCGGTTTAGGGTTTAGGGTTTAGGGTTTTTCGCTTAGGGCTTAGGGTTTAGGGGCCATGTAGCTTAATAGGAAATATTTGGGCCTTAAAGTACTTCCTAGAAAAGGACTGTGGGGTGCCATGGGGCACTTAGTTGCTGAGTTCACAACCCCCCAAAAAACTCAGTTCTGAGTAGGGGATTATTGTATCCCAAAAAGTGCAAAGTGTGCTCATTCAGCTACTAAGGGTGGTTAGGTGCCTGGTATCTCAGGGATGTTCGGCAACATGTACGACCAAACCCATCCTAGATGTTTTGAAAGCAAGGAAATTACGGCCCATCCTGTGCCATGTGGCACAAAACCATTTGGTAAACTCTGAACCCTTTTGAACCCTAAACCCTAAACCCTAAACCCTTAACCCTAAACCCTAACCCCCCCCCCCCCCCTGTTAAGTAAGGAACTTTGCGTCTCTTTTTCCCAATGGCCCATGCCTTTAACAACCTTTTTGTTAACAGCCCCTGCGCGCGGCAAGCCGCTGCAAAATCCCCCTGGATCTTAGTAGGGAATTGGGGAATGAGGTACCCTACAGAATCCTGTAAAGGGTATGTATAGGGGGATATAGGGTACCTCATTCCCTCATTCCCCACTAAGAACCAGCCAGAAATCTTAGAATTGCAACATCGAGTGTGGGCTGTAGGCTACGCTTCTTGGCACGAAGCCCAGAACCCTGAGCTGGGTTGCTGTTTGAGAACTTAAACAAAACGGTTAGGGTTTAGGGTTACCATAGTAAGAGAATAGAATAGAAATTCGTTTCCTTATCATGAGAACTTCCATTCAGTTGCTTCGGTCAAGAAGCAACTGAAGCCCCCCTAGCGCAGAAAAATCTTCACACCCTAAACTCTAAACCCCTAACCCCTAACCCCTAAACCCTAAACCCTAAACCCTAAACCCTAAACCCTAAACCCAGTGGGCCTGGTCGAAGTAGTCCTTGATATCTATCTCACCAATCGTCATGCTGGGGCACTTGGAGTTGGCTCAAACCGGGCGCTGCTTTCCTCCCTGCTAGCTTTGTGTCGGCTGACAGATAAAAAGGGGGCGCCCTTCTTGGTTTCAAGGGGACCAGGGCTTAGGGTTTAGGTCTTATGGTTTAGATTTATAAGGGAACCTAAACCCCCAAACCCTAAACCCTAAACCCTTTTGCACAGGCTTGTCTCAAAACCCTAAACCCTAAACCCTAAACCCCAAAGAAAGGGAATAAGGGCCTACTCTGGGTCCTTGGCTTAAGATGCGCAGCCTGCATGGTGATGCCTACAACAACTGGGGCACCCTAAAGCCCTCCGCGAGATCTACCTTCGAGCCAGAACAACAGCCAGCCTTAAGGGTTTAGGGTTTAGGGTTTAGGGTTTAGGGTTTAGGGTTTAGGGGTTACAGTAAACTCCAGAAAGTTGGAACATGGTTTGAGGACGAGTAGTGCTGGGATTCCCTCTAGCAACCCTCTTAGGGTATGAGGGTCCTCGTGTTCCAACTTTTGGGAGTTTGCTGTAGGGTTTGGGATTTTCCGAACGGCACACAGCAGTTTCGGGTTTAGGATTGCATGTCAACGAGGTTTAGGTTTTAGGGTTTACGGTTTAGGGTTTAGGGTTTTCTAGATGGGAAGCTGTAGGCTAAACTTGCACTGCAGGATGTCGACATCAAAGCGAACACACCGGCCTCGCATGTAGGAGTTCGCACGTGCGCTTGAAGGATCTAACCTTAAGGGTCCATGTACCTGATGATTATATACTTGGGCCTTAAAGTATTTCCTACATAGGGACTTTGGGGCCCAAGCATATAATAATGAGGTACATGGACCCTTAGGGTAAAAGACTGCCAATGAACGAGGTGCGCGTGCTTAATTACCAGATTGCTGGAAATACTTCAACCTCTTAAAAACACGAGACTATCTGTTGTCCTCAAGTTGGAACGTGGGGTACGCTGTCTTCATTGCTCAGCGCCGAATTATGCATTGTTGATATACATACTGCGTTTTTCACAAACTGAGACGAACACCTTGAGAGGACTTCTCTTCGATAGTCTTAGGTCGTGAGTACAACTTGGGATGTTACCCCTTATACTACCTGTCCTTGATCTTAATAAGGATTATAGTAACCCCCATATCATATTCCCGATTAAGCAGCTGTTAGTAATTCGCTCCTGCGGGCCTGACATGGGATTGGCGCACGAGAAAATGACACTCCTTTTTGAACCTTCCTCAGTCTTTCGGCGCCCTTGCCAGACAGGCCGCATTAGCAATAAGCTTTGCTTGCACATAACATAGGGGTCGGAATCGTTACTAACAGTATTCCCTTATGGTCCCCTTTCAAGTACTAGGAAGGCGCTTGAAATCTGAAAAATGTTCCTTAATATGATCCTCTTCAACCGCATCAGGAATACCTAGACTATACGATAATGACCCCCTAAATCCTAAACCCTATAACCTATAACCCTAAACCCTATTACTCAGGGCCCCCCAGAATTGTTAACTTCGAACTAGTGGTGCAGCGCGAGGACATGACCGCAAGCTTGGCGGAGGGCTTGAGGTTTAGGGCTTAGGGCTTAGGGCTTAGGGTTTAGGGTTTAGGGCTTAGGGTTCAGGGTTTGGGGTTTAGGGTTTAGGGTTCAGGGTTTATGGGGAAGCGGTTGGGAGGCGGGGTGCACGTGAGGTTGCGGACCCAAAACCCGTTTCCAGCTAGGTCCGACAAAATCGGGCATGTATTGCTTGCTTGCTCTAAAGACGTAAGCCCCAACCCTAAACCATAAAAAACACCCAGAGCCCCAAAACCCTAAACCCTAAGTAGGCGACCGTCAGACCATGGCTCTGCGATTAGTCGACTTGCAGCTTGCCCCGACATTTTCCTGTGAGCCTTAGAGGAACCCAATCACCGTGGAACTTTATGGTCAGACGTGACAAATCTGGGTCTGAGGCATTCTGTGGGATTGCCCTTCCGCGCTCTTTACCGGGCTTTGCTTTCCAGCTGGCTGTCTTGGTATGGGGTGGGCTTTAACCCTAAACCCTAAACCCTAAACCCTAAACCCTAAACCCTAAACCCTGAACCCTAAACCCTAAACCCTAAACCCTTTACTGATTCACTGTGACGCGCCGGCGCGCGCAGTTGGGGTCGTGGGCACACCCTGAACCCTAACTGAACCCTCAGGCACCTGAAGGTGGCCTAAGCCTAAGCATACTTGAGGGTTTAGGGTTTAGGGTTTAGGGTTTACATGGTCGGCTGAATCCAATGCCCCTCAGTATGAATGCTGCCAGAGAACAATGATAAAACGTCTGCTGGTCCCGGGCTCTGGTGACAGCTCTCTCAGACCACAAATCCAACGAACCGGTCATGAAGCAGTTGTAGGGTTTAGGGTTTATAGGATTTATGGCAGGCAATTTTCACACCCACCAACAGCCCTAAACCCTAAACCCTAAACACTAAATCCTAAACCCTATACCCTATACCCTAAACCCGAAACCCTAAACCCTAAACCCAAACCCTAAAGCCTAAACCCTATCCTTCTGGGTCGATCCAGGATCCAGGACAGCACTGCTTGATAAAGCCTGTGCCTGCCACCTGACGGCAGGAGCCTTTGTTCTGACAGCTCTTGTGTAAAGCAGTTTCAGGGGCTTAGGGTTTAGGGTTTAGGGTTTAGGGTTTAGGGTTTAGGGTTTAGGGTTTAGGGTTTAGGGTCTAGGGTCTAGGGTCTAGGGTTTAGGGTTTAGGGTTTAGGGTTTAGGGTTTAGGGTTTGAGGTCTTTGAGGTTTAACTTTTTGAAAACTGCCCAAGGCTCCGGCGGTGCATGAGCAGCCCCTCCCTTCGCGCGCTGCTCAGCTCCGGGAACGCCGGCGCCGACGCCGTCTGCGGCGGGACCTCGACCTTCCCGGCGGCTTTGATTAGAAGGTTCTTAAGGGAGGGTTTAGGGTTTAGGGTTTAGGGTTTAGGGTTTAGGGTTTAGGGTTTAGGGTTTAGGGTTTAGGGTTTAGGGTTTAGGGTTTAGGGTTTAGGGTTTGGGGTTTAGGGTTTAGGGTTTAGGGTTTAGGGTTGAGGGTTTAGGGTGCAGGGTGTAGGGCTTAGGGTTCGTAAGGGAGGGAGGTTCATGGGGGGTGGGTACCCTTAGGGAAGCTTAGGGAGCCTTAGGGCGTAGTGGGGCAGTTTTCGGAAACCTCGGGTGACATACCCCGCTTGAAGCCCTCGCCCCTTAAGAACACTATAAATTCAGTGATCAAAGTCTCGGGCCCTCAACCTAAGGGTCTATGTACCTATGAAGCCGATGAAGCCTACTTGCAGGAGACAAGATCTACGGGGCTTAGGATCGTGTTTCATTCCGACCAACCAGACCCTAAACCTTAAACCTTAAACCCTAAACCCGGTTCCCTAAACCCTATACCCTATACCCTAAACTCTATAAGCTAAACTCCCTGAACTTTACGCCTCAGGATGAGCAAAGCCGAACCCTAAACCCTAAACCCTAAACCCTAAACCCTAAACCCTAAACCCTAAACCCTAAACCCTAAACCCTAAATCCTAAATCCACAACCAGGAGCCCCCTAAACCCGAAACCCTAAACTTGAAACAGCGCTTTTGAGAGCCAGGCTCTGATCCTGAGCTTCAACACGCTAAACCTCAAACCCTAAACAAAGGCTAGCGGGGTCCACCCTAAACCCTAAACCCCAAACCCCAAACCCTAAACCCTAAACCCTAAACCCTAAGCCCTAAGCCCTAAGCCCTAGACCCTAAACCCGGTCCGCCTGTCGGAGGAGCTGCTCGAGCTGCCGCTCCGGGAGTTCCGCCCCCGGGATCTTCGGCCCCGCGAACGGCGTGGGGATCGCCTTCTTGAAGAATCTTTCAAAGGGCTCAAGGGTTTAGGGTTTAGGGTTTAGGGTTTAGGGTTTAGGGTTTAGGGTTTAGGGTTTAGGGTCAACCCTAGCCCTTAGGCTCAAAATAGCCCAAAAACCTTATATACAAAGCGCAAAAAACCTAAAATAAGAGTCCTGGAGCCTTAAGGGAAGGCTCCATGTACCAAAATAGGGTTTACTTGGGCCTTAAAGTGCTTCCTATATAAGGACTTTTGGGCCCATAAAGAGGTCGCATATCTATTTTGTTATGTTGATCTTTATGTTTGTGTGTATATATAGGTATTCTTATTTCTATCTCTATCTACATATTGCGCACACTCTTATACCACACATACAATTAAAGTTACACTTGCACTGACACTAGCACCACACTTACACTTATGGTCCGGGAATGAATTTCTGTTAAGGGTTACGGCTCGAAGTTGATGGCAAGGGTTCCAAGATTTCAAGTACTTTAAACCTTCCCTAAACCCGAAAAAACCCAAACCCTAAACCCTAAACCCCAAACCCTAAACCCTAAACCCGAAAATCCCAAACCCTATAAACCCTAAACCCCTCCACCAAGCCCGCGGCCCCGCAAGCTTCTCGCATTTACAAGCTGCCGATGGGCCAAGTCACTACAACATCCCACACTTGGGGAAATGTTCCTGAAATGAGCTGCGGTTTAGGGTTTAGGGTCCAGAGGGATCCTAATATGAACAAAGAGTCATCCCTATTGCAGTTGAAGGAACTGGCGTCTCAGGAAAATCTAAACCCTCAACCCGAAGTCCTAAACCCTAAACCCAAAACCCTACATTTCAGGGCCTCTTTGGGGGGGGGGGGGGGGGGGGGATGGCCTGGGTGGCGACCTTCGACTGGCCTGCTGTCGAACTGGCGACGCTGGTCGCTCAGGCCTGGGGTCTCCAGAAAGACGAATTTCGGGTTTAGGGTTATAGGGTTTAGGGTTTAGGGCTTAGGGCTTAGGGTTTAGGGTTTAGGGTTGAAGGTTTTAGGGTTTAGGGTTTCGAGGTGTCAACTCTCAGCTGAAAAGACGCTTGGGCCAAACTAAAAACACCAAGGCTTGGGTGTATCAAGGGATTAAGACTCGTACCCATAAGGTTGTACCCCGAAGAGGTTTCCCTTAACATACTCCTAAAATCCCTAAACCCTAAACCCTAAACCCTAAACCCTAAACCCTAAACCCTAAACCCTAAACCCTAAACCCTATAGGGTCCCCCAACGCAAAGGGTACCACCTTACGGGTCCCAGGCAGAGCTCCAGGAGTGCAGGGTTTAGGGTTTAGGGTTTAGGGTTTAGGGTTTAGGGTTTAGGGTTTAGGGTTTAGGGTTTAGGGTTTAGGGCGGGGGCCTTCCTTGTACCCAAGAGTCCCCAACGACTCTGAGGGAATATTCCTCAATTGTGATCAGGGGGCTTGTACTGCTGAAGGAATATTCCGAATAATTACCCAATTAAGAGGGACGTTGGGGCCTTGAATGTAGCGAGTTTGCTGTTGGCTATCGCCGTTCGCAAGCTCTTCAGCTTCTCCATGCACCCGAGGCGTCGCGTAAATTAGGGCTTAGGGAAGCAAACCCACAACAGAAGCGCCAGCAAAAAGAGACTCATTCGGGATAACTTCGGGGTCTCCGGAGGCATATTAGCTTGCCAATTCTTCATACGGAATTGGGAATTCGGTAGCTCCCCCCTCCAATAAAGGCGTTCAGCAGAGAACCGCACCTAGCTCCCAAGCCTCTAAGGGCCACTAGACGCCACTAGATGCTGACTTACAGAATAAAGACCATTTTATCTTGTCCCAAAGACCATTTGACCTTGTCCACAAAGCAGCACTACTTGCTGGCTCTTAGCAGGGAATGAGGGAGTGAGGTACCCTATATCCTATATGTACCCTTTAAGGGATTCTGTGGGGTACCTACTTCCCCCATTCCCAAAAAAAGAAACACTTCATATAAAACCTTTGCATTAAAGAATCCTTTTAAGGGGGTCTCCGTGAAGGAGAAAGCGCTGGACTGTGCCGCAGTGCCCTTAGGGTTTAGGGTTTAGAGTTTAGGGTTCAGGGCGGAAAGCCCTTGGCAAAAGGCTCAGCACGGAAAGTACGTGGCAAAATGCTTAGCTTAGGATTTCAGGTGACATCTGCAACTGCTCTGAAACGGATGCTGCGCCGGAAAGCCCTGAGGTCACCAAGCCAAAGCTTCTTTAGGGCTTATAGACTTGCCTGAGCCCTAAACTCCACACCCCCAAACCCTAAACCCCAAACCCTAAACCCCAAGCCCCAAACCCCTGAACCTCAAACCCCAAGCCCCAAACCCTAAACCCTGAACCCCCTAAACCCCAAGCCCTAAACCTCAAACCCCAAAACCTGAACCCCAAACCCTAAACTCGAAACCCTGAGCCCCAACCCCAAAACCCCAAAACATGAGGCTTGGGGTCCCAGCGGCGGCTCTGGGTCCTCAGCCTTCCCAGCCTCACCGATCACGCGATGGAATAGCATACCACAAGGCGGGATTTAGGGTTTAAAGGGTTTAAAGGGTTTAAAGGGTTTAAAGGGTTTAACGGGTTTAACGGGTTTAAAGGGTTTACAGGGTTTAAAGGGTTTAAAGGGTTTAAATGTTTAAAGGGTTTAACGGGTTTAAAGGGTTTACAGGGTTTAAAGGGTTTAAAGGGTTTAAAGGGTTTAAAGGGTTTAACGGGTTTAAAGGGTTTACAGGGTTTAAAGGGTTTAAAGGGTTTAACGGGTTTAAAGGGTTTACAGGGTTCAAAGGGTTTAAAGGGATTAAAGGGTTTAAAGGGTTTAAAGGGTTTACAGGGTTTAAAGGGTTTAAAGGGTTTAAAGGGTTTACAGGGTTTAAAGGGTTTAAAGGGTTTAAAGGGTTTAAAGGGTTTAAAGGGTTTAAAGGGTTTAAAGGGTTTAAAGGGTTTATATAAATTTAAAGGGTTTATATAAAGGGTTTAAGGGGTTTAGGGTTTACAGGGTTTATAGGGTTTATAGGGTTTAGGGTTTAAAGGGTTTAGGGTTTAGGGTTTTGGGCTTAGGGCCGCCTCTGGGTCGTTGAGACTATCAGCAACCTTTTCGGTTTCACATGCCCGTCTACATACCATAATTCGTGCCGGGGCCAATGAATTTGTCCCACATGGCTTGTGGGAGGCGCGGCGCGTCCCCTCTGTCCCACAAATTGAGGGTGAATGAGCTCTCGGCGACTTGTCTGCACGAGGGGATGGGAACACCATGCAGCTCACTTTGCTCTTCATCAGGAGGCATTTTGTGCAGCCAGCGTCCATAAGGACAAAAAATGATGGGTGCCGCAATGAAAACTCCCATCTCGACGCCTACGGCCGCGATCTTCCTGGTAGCATCCACCCACTCCGACCACCGCATAGGGCTGGCATGCGCACCACTGCCCTGCACCACAAAACCTTTCACTGGTTTTCGTGAGCATATCTTCTTCTCCATTGTGGCGAGGTGATTGTCAAGGATCTTGGTGGATGCAGCTACAAAGTCCCGGGCCATCTTCTCAGCACGGTTTACCTGCGAACCCCGACCACAAACCGCAGATGGTCGACAACTCTCCTTCGCACCCTTCCCCACTTCTGAGGGCGGCGCGAGGACAGAACAGCACAAGGGAAGCGCAACTGTGCGACACGTGCGGACAAGCTCATCGGCATCCCGTGGCACATGCCAGCGCGTGCCTGCCCTTGGCGAAACTTAGCAAGGCAAATCTCCAGCTTCCGTACTTGTGAGGGTGAGGGTGCCAGACTCCAAGATTGGTTCAGGTCTTTGGGCTTCTGTTTGTTGTTTTGGATTTTGGGTTTGAGGGCTTTAGCTTTTTGTGCTGCCCAGAGTGGGCTCCGGACATGTATGTATGTGTGTGTGTGTGAAGGATTGGCTCAGGGTTCAGGGCCTCTAGGGCACAGGGCGGCAAGGCACAAGGTTCCACCATGTCGGAGGCCGCGTGAGCTTATAGGTTCAATCCGAGGTCTTCCATGCTTCCGACCGAAGTGGGCTCAGGCTTGGGATCAGGGCTTAGTTCCAGGCTCGTGCTTCAGGCTTGATGTAGCTTCTTCGCCCTTTAGACCACGAAGTCTGACCTCAAGACCCTGGGCCCTAAGGCCTTCCCATTCAAGACCTCATGCCTTGCGAGCGTGAAATGCTAGACGTTCTCAACTTCAGCTTTTCGATCCGAGTCCGTGCTCTAAGGCCACCACCTCAATTCAGGAAGCAAGTGCCAACATAGAAAGTCGAGACTTCGTCTGTGTGAGTCCTTGCGACCCCCGGCCAGCACAGTGCACCTGATGTGCGGACTGCAAGGTCTGACGCCAGCATGTGTGGGTCAGACGAATTTCTGCAGAGCCCATCTTGGCTTTGGGGCCTAGCTGGGGCCTAACCCTGAACCCAAACCCCTAAACCCCTAAACCCCTAAACCCCTAAAAGCCCTAAAACCCCTAAACCCCTAAAACCCCTAAACCCCTAAACCCCTAAACCCCTAAACCCCTAAACCCCTAAACCCCTAAAACCCCTAAAACCCCTAAAACCCCTAAAACCCCTAAAACCCCGAAAACCCCTAAACCCCTAAACCCCTAAAACCCTAAACCCCTAAAACCCCTAAACCCCTAAAACCCTAAAACCCCTAAACCCCTAAACCCCAAACCCCTAAACCCCACCCTAAACCCTAACCCCTAAAAAACCCTAAAACCCCTAAACCCCGAAACCCCTAAACCCCGAAACCCCTAAACCCCTAAACCCCTAAACCCCAAACCCCTAAACCCCTAAACCCCAAACCCCTTAAACCCCTAAAACCCTAAACCCCTAAAACCCCTAAACCCCTAAACCCCTAAACCCCTAAAACCCCTAAACCCCTAACCCCTAAACCCTAAACCCCTAAACCCCTAAACCCCAACCCTAACCCCTAAAACCCCTAAACCCCTAAAACCCTAAAACCCCGAAAAACCCCTAAAACCCTACCCCTAAACCCCTAAAACCCCTAAACCCCCCCTAAAACCCCTAAAACCCTAACCCCTAAACCCCTAAACCCCTAAACCCCTAAACCCCTAAAACCCCTTAAACCCCTAAACCCCTAAACCCCCTAAACCCCTAAACCCCTAAACCCCTAAAACCCCTAAACCCTTAAACCCCTAAAACCCCTAAACCCCTAAAACCCCTAAAACCCCCTAAACCCCTAAACCCCTAAAACCCCTAAAACCCCTAAAACCCCTAAAACCCCTAAAACCCCTTAAACCCCTAAACCCCTAAAACCCCTAAAACCGAAAGCATTCTGACAAAACCAAGCCGAAGTCTCCAGGCCAAAAGCCCGAAGCAGCTCCTCTGCACTGGGGCAGTGCAACCAACTTTGTCACTCAACCTCTTGTTTTAGGAGTTTAGGGCTTCAGGGTTTAGGGCTTTAGGCTTTAGGGTTTAGGGCTTTAGGCTTTAGGGTTTAGGGCTGCAAAGGTGCGGCCACTGCCCACACAAAACACGCCTGCACTGGCGTGCAGCTCTCATGGGCCACACATGCCGAAAAGATCGCAGGTGGCTGTCCTGGCCTCACCTGGCAAGGCTGCATCTATCACCTTAGGTCCGTCGGCGACCTCGGCCTGGAATTCCTTGCGCTCCGCCTTTTCCGGGACTAAGGAGAGACCCAAAAAAAGGGACCCAAGCGGGTTCTTTCATGGGGTTATTTAGGGGGCTACTTAAGTATATAGGTATATAAGGTATATATGTATATATATATATATAGGGCTCCTTGATCTTCGCGGAGACTTCGGCCACGTCCTCCTTCACCTCCGCCTTCGCCACCTCTTCCTTGATTTCCTTCGCCGCCTCTGCAGCCTCCGCCACGGCCTCCACCACAGCGTCCTTGGCCTCGTGCTTCAACTCCTGCTCCTTCACCTCTTCTTTCACCTCCTTCACCTCTGCAAGGGACTCCTCCACTGCCGGCGCAGCCTCCATGACCTCAGAAGGCTGGACCACCGAGTCCTTGAGCTCTTCAGCCTTCTCCTGCGCGGAAGGGGAGATGTCCTGGGGGGGAAGGGGCTCAGCGGCGGGCGCCTCGGTGGAAGTCTTCGAGTCGGCGGGCGCCTCCGTCACTGCGATGGGCGCCTTCTCCACCTCCACCGGTGCTGCCTTGCTGGTCTGGCAACCCATGCCTGACAAGGAGGGCGCTTGCAATCCGACTGCTTCGAAGCCAGGAAGCTGCCTGAGCCAACATGGCCTTGACACTAGCGACTTATAGGGCTTTAGGACTTACAGAGTTTTATGGGTAACCCTGAGGGTCCATGTACCGAAGTCGGGAATACTTGGGCCTTAAAGTACTTCCTATTTTCGGGACTTGTGGGCCTCGGTGTATAACAATCAGGTACGTGGACCCTTAGGGTAATATCCTAAACCCTAAACCCTAAACCCCAAACCTAAACCCTAAACCCTAACGCACAAATAGTATGGTAAGTCCGGGATGCCAGAAAACAAGGGCAAGACGAGGGAGAGTAAGCGTCGCTCTCGCGCGCGCGAAATTCGCCCTGCCTTGGCGCCTCGAAGACGATCGAGCGCGGCCTGCAGCAGCAGCCCGAAATTTTTCGCAACCCTTATACCCTAAACCCTAAACCTTACATGCCCCTTATACACCCTATAGAGCCCGAAGGCCCATAACTCCGAACCCTTTGAAATACAAATAGGGAAGGACCCATACTAAGGGCCCCTTGTGCTAGGCCAAAACACTCACAGCTTCTGCTTCGATCCTGAACTCTAAACCTTAACCCCTACACCCGAACCCTGCTAAACCCTAACCCTGCAGCCATGTGCTGGCTTGAGATGAAAAGCAAGCCACGATGTCACACCAGCGTCGGGGCTTGTGCCACTGCTGTTGCCCGAATCTTCTAGAAATCCTAAACGCCCCTACGCCCCTGAAAGTCCTAAACCTTCTTTTGGACCTAGGACTGCTGAGGGTTTAGGGTTTAGGGTTTAGGGTTTGGGGTTTGGGGTTTAGGGTTTGGGGTTTGGGGTTTAGGGTTTAGGGTTGAGGGTTTAGGGTTTAGAGTTTGGCCTGTGGTGCAAGCAGAAAAAGCTTAAACCCTCCCAGCTGCCCAATCAGCTGCTGGGCTTCCTTAGGGCTTAGGGCTTAGGGCTTAGGGCTTAGGGCTTAGGGCTTAGGGCTTAGGGCTTAGGGTTTAGGGCTTAGGGTTTAGGGTTTAGGGTTCCTGCCTGCGCACGCTGCTTCTTGTCGCCGGCTCGATTTGTAATTCGGCGACCAAAGTCGTCGTAGCCATCAGCAGCCTTGCGTTGTTTTTCTTCTGACATAAGTTTAGGGTTTAGGGTTTAGGGTGTAGGGTGACATAACAGGGAGCAGGAGCCTTCGATTGGGTCAGACGGCCCTGTATAAGCCTCAATCGCTCTTGAAAATGGGGCAACTGGCAGCCCGTCCTCTGGCGAGCGCTTTCAAAGGCTGGAGCCTATATTGTATATTAATTACATAGTATATACAGTCTATGTCATGTGTCATATCATATAACATATATCATGGTGGCCCGCTTTGAAGTGGAGCCTGCCTCTACCAAACCTCATCGGTATACTGGGGGGTTCATGGTATTTATTAACCAATAACTGCACTCATCCGTGTACTTAGAACCATATCAGGGCACTTAAGACCATATTAGGGCACTTAAGGGGCCTATAAGTTGGTTATCAGTACAGTTACAATTGGTTAGTAAGCACCCCAAACCCTAAACCCTAAACCCTAAACCCTAAACCCTAAACCCTAAACCCTAAACCCTAAACCCTAAACCCTAAACCCTAAACCCTAGACCCTAAACCCTGAACCCTACCATGAACCTCCACGAGGAGCAAGGCATGGCCTCAGAGACATCCCGAAGCGCCCACTTATAGGGCCTTCTCGGGCTTCAAGGGCCCATACTTCGGAGCCCTTGAAATGATGTAAGGGGCCATACTAAGGGCCCATAGGACTACCCTAAACCCTAGCCCTAAACCCTAAACCCTAAACCCTAAACCCTAAACCCTAAACCCATATAACTACCCTGAGATAGGCGCCCTGGCCTCCACAGCCTTGTGCTCCTTGGTGGCGATTGTCTGCCGATCATTGTAGCCACCTGCACACACGACAGTTGAGAATGCAAGGCCTCTAAGGGTTTAGGGTTTCGGGTTTCGGGTTTAGGGCTTAGGGCTTACTCAGCCTAAACCTAAACCTAAGAAGAGTAGTTCTCAAACCCCCCAAAAAAGTCCTGAATGACATCTTCTTAAACCCAGCAAGGGGAAGACCTGAAATCTCCCGGTTTAGGGTTTCGGATGAGGGTTTTCGGTTGGGATGTTCCCCCTTGTACTCACAGTCCTTAATAGGGATCAGAGAAACCCCTATTATAATCCCTACTAAGAGTGTAAGGGGGAGCATACCAAGTTTTAGGGTTTTGAACCCTAAACCCTAAACCCTAAACCCCAAACACCCTAAACCCTAAACCCTAAACCCTAAACCCCAAACACCCTAAACCCTAAACCCTAAACCCTAAACCCTAAACCCTAAACCCTGACGTCATTCTGTCTTGCCTATGGCACTGGCACTGTAGAGGCCTGCTCGGCCACCCTCCTCCATGCGTAGCCTGGGTCAGGAATGCAGGTTTAGGGTTCTAGGGCTTTAGGGTTTAGGGTTAGAGGGTTTAGGGTTCAGGGATTAGGGTTTCGGGTTTGGGGTTTCGGGTTTTAGGGTTTCGGGTTGCGCGATGCTGGCTAGCATCAATAGGGACATGCTGCATGTATGGCCGATGTCCTTTTGCCTACATCTTCGTTTGTTTGCAAACATGGCGCACAGCGGGGTATGCCCAAGCATGTTGGTAGCCCGATTTTAGCACCTAGCAAGCCCTGACAACTTTGACCCTAAACCCTCTTCCTAAACCCTAAACCCTAAACCCTAAACCCTAAACCCTAAACCTCTGTCTTTTGACCCTTAACCCCTTTAAACTCGGAACTGATCTCCACGCCGCCCTGACCCTGAAGCCTGAACCCTAAACCCTAAACCCTGAACCCTGAACCCTAAACCCTAAACTCTAAACCCTTTTCCGAATCCCTAAACCCGAAACCCTAATGCCATAGCGGCCATGCAGCTGCTTCCTCATGAAGGCCTCCTGCTGCCGCTGCCTGGCTGCAAGCAGCGTGCCGTGACAGTGTAGAACTCTCGTGACAAGTGCATCTGAGAGAGAAAACATCAACAGGGTTTAGGGTTTAGGATTTAGGGTTTAGGTTTCTCTCTCTCTCTCTCTCTCTCCCTCTCTCTCCTGCACGCTTAGCCCCCCCCGAAGGGAAGGCTGCCCCAAGGGGCGCGCGAAGTCCGAGGGTCCGGTTTAGGTTGCTCTCTCTCTCTCTCTCTTTTTCTCTCTCTCTCTCTCTCTCTCTCTCTGTCTCTCTTCACATGAAGACAAACTGGGCAAGCACACTGCTCGATGTCGGCGTTGATGTTGCCATCATCACGGAAACTGCGATCGTTCTGCACCTTGTCTTCGTAAAGAACAACTTGAAAACCAACAGCACTACAGTACGCCAAACCCAGGGCATGGTTTGCTCGAAACAGCCTCCAACACCCCCAACGTATAACTCTGAGCGCGACACTCGCACATGGGAGGTGTAGGGTTTGGGGTTTAATGGTTAAGGGTTTAGGGGTTTAGGGTTCCCCTACTACCCCTTCTAGGTATCATAAGGTTCATGGGCCCTCCCTTACCCAAAGAGCCCAATACCCCTTAATTAAGGAATCTACTTCAAATCATATTCAGGATCCCTCTATAAATTAAGGTCTGTCCCTAAGGGTCCATGTACCTCAAACTTATATACTTGGGCCCCAAATTCCCTATATAGCAAGTACTTTAAGGCACAAGTATTCCCTATTTAGGTACATGGACCCTTAGGGATGGGTATCATGGGTTCCCCTACCCAAAAAGCCCAGTACCCCGTCATGAAGCAATATACCTCAACTGTTAGAGGGATCCTTAATCAGATTTAAGGTACTTTCCTTAATTCATGGGTATTGGGCTCTTTGCGTACTAGCCTCCTTCCTCTCCCCATAATTAAGGCCTTTTAGGGAGAATTAAGCCTAACCAAAATTACAGAGGGGGGTAGTAGGGCAACTCATGAAGGTATCGACGTTATGATGTGCGGCCCGCTGTGACGTGCAGTGTGCAAGGCCAAGATGCGCAACGTTCTACTTGCAATTTTTTGGCCTTACCCTAGGGGTCCATATACCTAATTATTATATACTTGGGCCCTAAAGTCCTTCATGAGGTGGTACTTTAAGGCCCAAGTACTCCCTATTTAGGTACATGGACCCTTAGGGTTAGTTTTCAGCAAGCAGGCCTGGGACACCTGACTCTTTCCATGCTGTGTTCACATTTTGGTAGGAAGATGCTGGCGCTTAGAACCTCCTGGCAGCCCAAGGGCCGTAGTAGAGTGAGATGTCGTGTGGGAAAGCAACAGTTATGGACACCCTGTCCACCTGCACGTGTGTAGGAAATGCTACTTCGGCGAGTCTCTGCATTGAAATTCTACACCTTCCCGGAAAGGTGAGGAACCACCCGCCCGGTCACGATTTCAATCAAGAAGAGTTTAGAGGTTAAGCGGTTCTGGTTGTACCTCGTCAAGGCACAACCTGGCCCGAGGGCTTGTAGACCCTAAGCCCTTAAAAGCACACATCCAAAACTCGAATACGCCCTAACCCCAACTAGTACAGTATGGAAAGCGCGTTTTTGTCCACGAAAGTTTTGACGGTCTTTATCTCAGGGGCTGAGTACCCTAGCCCAAAATACCCAGTCCCTCAGATATAGGGCTCACAGACGCCAAGTTAGGGGCCTGAATAATTAGAACAGGCTTTTGGGGGTTATTCTAGATTGTATAGGGACCAAAGGGGAATACGATGTGTAATTAATCCGAAACCCTAAACCCTAAACCCTAAACCCTAACCCCTAAACCCTAAACCCTAAACCCTAAACCCTAAACCCTAAACCGACCCCCATATTAGAGGGTCGGCCAGGGCCAGTCGTCGCCGAGCTCCACGCAATCGGATTGCCTCGTGACGGGCGGTTCCCACGAAGGTCGCTGGCAACGGCCTGCAAGCTGTGGTCAGGGAAAGAAACTGGGGATGTTGCCGCTTAAACTAACAGTCCTTAGTAGGGACCATGGTATGCCGATTATAATACCTATTACGGACTGTTAGTAGAAGGGGGAACATCACAAAAAGAACACACGAAACCCCAAACCCCAAAGTTTGCCCTGGCGTTCACGACCAAGCCTCCCACGGATGCATCCGTCTGAGGTACGGCGAGAACCACCAACGAAGGAAGAGAATCAAAAGCTGCTAAGAGCCGTATGCCCGTATCCCTGCTCGGAAACTCGGGTCATCCGACATGCGGTCGACATCGTCGGTGGCGGCAATCCCTTGCTCAAAGTGTGCGAAACACGCCTAAACCCTACACCTAAAACCCTTTGGGGGATTAGGGTCAAAGGTTAAAATGTTCCCCTTATACTAACAGTCCTTAACAGGGATTTAAACTTTCATTGCTATCAAGGACTGTTAGTTTTAGGGGGAACATCCCAAGGAGTACCCTTTTTTAACCCCAAATGTAGTAGATCCCTCTGTACTTAAGACCCCCAGGGAGGGTACCCCTATAATCGTAAACGCCCATTTAGAAGGGTTAAGGGATGGTTTGGGGTTTAAGGTTTAGGGCTGTTTTTGGTTGCCACCCCGCCAGGGGCGGTCTCATATGCGCGGTCAGTGGCTCAACATGAACTAGATAGTGCGTCCACCCGATCCCTCAAGACTAAGGGCTTCCCTAAACCCTAGCCCTAAACCCTAAACCCTAGACCCTAAACCCTAAACCCTAAACCCTAGGAAAAAAAAGGTTTGGGTTCAGGCCCTAAAACCCCCCAAAAGCCCAAAGCCCACACCACGCCCCGGCCTGGTAGATGCTGCTCATGGCACCGGTCTACTGCAAGGGAGGGGTCACGCCACGGGTGCAGTGGAACCTATTCTCCCCCTTAGAACCTTAAGAAACAATGATGTTTTTAAGAGATTCGCCTGCGCTTTAGAAAGATGCATCTAAAAAAAGAATTCCTATAAGGGGTCTATAGGAATTTGAGTGTGAATGCTGTAGTCCATTCTGGCTGCACGCCGTGTTTGTGCTTCTAGGCGAAGGCGTCTGGCATTGCCTCGTCTGCGGGCGGCTACCTAAGCCTGGAGCATGGAAGTTGGCAGCGCAAAGAAGACTTTAGGGTTTAGGGTTCCTTGGCAATGTTCAGAATTTCGTCCTCATGGTGAATTCGCCTGCAAGCGGTTGGACTTAGTTCGAGCTTGGGCCTCCCGTTGACAAGTAGCAACTGTGGAGATCACTCGGGCCCCTGCAAGTGAGTCTCTTCGTTACTAGGTTGTGAAAGGCTCTAGCACCTGCAGCAACAGTGTTTAGGGGTTTAGGCTTAGGGCTTATAGTGGTTTACTAGGATGCTGTCGAAACGCTCTGGACAACAATATTCCTGAAGACAATCCTCTTATAAACATACACATTATAAACCCAAGAAGGAAAAACTTGAGATATCCCAAGGGCCCACCTGATTTTGAAAGCCGCTTCGCAGTAGCTTTATTCCCCAGGGAAGCGACTAAGCGGTGGCCCAAAAGATCGAAAAAGTAGGTTCCCTAGTTTCGGTTCCCTAGCTTAACAAGCCCTAAACCCTAAGCCCCAAACCCTAAACCCCAAACCCTAAACACCGCAGGGCCGGAGGAGGCTTTTCATGTCAAGTCGACTACGCCATTCTTGTCATCGCACGGCCCACGAGCAAAACATAAGGATGCAAAAGGCCAAGGATCCAATTGTCCTAGGCTGCAGCGGCGCTGACCCCCTTAACCCTGTAAACTCTACACCCTGAAGGTGTAGGGTTTAAGGCTTAGGGTTTAGGAGGGGTTGGGGTTTAGGGAAGGGTTTGGGTTGAGGGAACTTTTGGCGTTTTGGCCCTTCCAGGCTTTAAAGTTCCGTGTGCCGTCTACGTCCCATGCATTGGCCCACCCCACTTTGTTTATGGTCTCGGGCTTAGATGCGACACCCACAATGGACTCTCCGGTACCCAACAACATGCACCAACCAACGCAGCTGAGTTCTGTGCTACCTTTCTTTTCCAAACCGAAACCCTGTTCCCTAAACCCCAAGGGTTTAGGGTTAGGGTTGTGTTAGGGTTTAGGGGTTTAGGGATTCGGGTTTTAGGTTTTAGAGTAGGGTTGAAGGTTTAGGGTAAACCACCCTAAACCCCAAACCAGAAAAAACCTAGATCCTTAGCTGCTGGGTTCATCAGGCCCCAAAAAGTGTACACTGTCAGTTCTATAGAGGATTATAGTATCCACAAAAAGTGTAAAGTGTACTCATTCAGCTACTAAGAATCTAACGTCCCGAATGGTCCCACCGCAGGGGGTCCAGAGCCGACCCTGGAAATTTTCAACATTCAGCTGCGGCCGAGGGAGGCTTTGGGTGAGAAAGGCGAACCCCAAAACTCTTAAACCCTAAAACCCTAAACCCTAAACCTCCGGTTCAGCCGAGCATGGGTTGCCAGGCATCGTTGACCAGAGGCCGTTGGCAAGCTGTGCACTGAAGCATTGGACCTGTTTGCTCTGCTACTCCATCTGACCCACCTCCCGATAACAAGGGAACCTAGAACCCAAAACAAATACACAAAGGGTACTGCTGGGCTACCCATGAGCCTAGCAAGCAAGCGAAGGCACAGGACGGCACCTCATGCTACACGTCTTTGAAACAAAAGCAGTTCCCCGGCACCAATGGTGATGACGGCAGGCTTACAGTTAGAGTGTGGACCTCGCCATGTAGCTAGACCCAAGAGTAACCTAGAAACAAAGAAGGTGCCCGCTTTGGTTTACAGGGGCCTCTAAGGGAAGCTAAACCCCCCAAAAGGGAGGGGGGGGGGGGGAATAAGGGCCTACTGGCCTACTCTGGGTCCTAGTATCCCTAAACCCTAAACCCCAAACCCTAAAACCCTAAACCCTAAAAGGCAGGGAGTGGACATTTTCGAGGGCATCCTCAGAGTGGGCTTGATGGATCCTCTGGCGTTTGGTCACCCTACAGCCGTGCACCCACGCCCTTGCAAAGCCCAAAGACCTAACCCTCAAGAAACCTTAAACCCCTAAACCCCTAAACCCCTAAACCCCTAAACCCCTACACCCCTAAACCCCTAAACCCCTGAACCCCTGAACCCCTAAACCCCTAAACCCCCTAAAACCCTAACCTGCTTGAGGCTCTGCTTCAGTGCTCAGTCTTGCAAGGCTCGGAGAACAGGGCTGGAAATACAGGGGGAGCCTCCCTGATAGGGTTTCGCGTGTAGAGGGTTTAGGGTTTAGGGTTTGGGAGTTAGGGTTTAGGGGTTGGGAGTTTAGGGTTTTTGGGTTCAGGGTTCTAGGTTCGAGAGGGTGCTATCCCCACAGCTGGACCGTCGAGTTTAGGTTTGATTAGAGGGTCATCAGCGTTTAACATGTCAGCTTAAGTTCAATTAGGGTGTAGGCAGGGCCTGCAGTAGGGTCCCGGGTCTTTCGGTGCTACGCTAAGTCTGCGCAACAGATGCTGCGTGCGTCTGTTGCAGCGGTGTGGTTCTCTTCGCGTTCTTTGGCGGGGCTCGAAGACCCTTTGGGATCAGGGTTTAGGGTTTAGGGTTTAGGGTTTAGGGTTTAGGGTTTAGCTGTGAAAGATGCTGGGCCACATCTTCAAGTAGTGCCGGCAATCCGCGAGGTTGAAGGCATGACACACTCGGTTTTGGGCACAGGGAGGCCCTCCCTTGTCTTGAGTCCCACATACTGAAACTCAAGTCGCAAAGCTCGGCCTGTCATGCGCGCGGGAGCTGTCCAAAGCACTCAGGCTTGCAAACTGGGAGGGTTTCGGTTGTTGGGCTCCTAGGAAGGCCATTTTCAAACCCCCTGAAACATATTCCAACATCTGATCCGCTTAAACCGAATAAGGGGAAGCATTAAATATCCAAAGGCCCCACCTAGGGATATTCTCCAAGTATCCAGGCTTTGGGGCGGTTTCAGCTTCGGAATTCAGGGTTGCCCATGGGTTTTAGGGACCTAGGCCCGGGAAGGCTGATGGAAACCCTCCTGAAAAGCTCGCCGGCACAAGCTACTCAGAGCGTTGCACGGATATTTCGCAGCTCCTGCAATATCACGCAGAACAAGTCGCGTCAATCCTGACACCTAGATCGCCAAAACCCTGCAACCCCTAAACCCTAGACGGACCGAGACTAAAACTCCCACTCCTCATTCCTGAAGCCCAGACGTTGAAGAATTAAAGGGCCTTCAAAAGATCTCTACACCCTACACCCTAAACCCTAAACCCCTAAACCCCTAAACCGCCACGCTAAGGCTGTTGGGTGTTCTGCTGCTTGGATGACTTGAATCTACAAAGCCCTGCATTAGCCTTTGTGGCCTTAAAAACGGTGTCATGCAGCTTAACTATTGGAAAGATACCTTGCTTCAGGTTTACAAGCTTGCTCGAGGTAAACCCTAAAACCGAAACTTGGGATGTTCACATCCCCATAAAAGGCTGTTGGGAACATCCCAACTCGAAATCCTCACTCTACTTGGCAACCAGTAACCAGATTATGATAAGGGCACCCCTTTGTTTGGGTTGGTTACTTTAGAAGGAACCCTGAACCCAAAACAGTGGCCACTGGGCTACCAAGTCTAGCTAGGATGGCCCTGAAAAACCCTCTGACCAATATTCCTGACTATGATCCTCTGAAGCCCAATAAGGGAAAACATAAAATGTCCCAAAGGTCTACCTAGCTAGGTAGGGGTCTGAATGTCCATGCATGACGAGGGCTTCTGATCGCAAGGAAATGTGGCTCTCAAGTGTGTTCGTTGATATCTCGTGACTCATGAAGGTCGCTTTCATCCATGTGGGTTTAGGATTTAGGGTTTATGGTTTAGGGTTTGGGGTTTAGGGTTTGGGGTTTGAGGTTTATGCACTCATGAAAACTGGTTGCTACCCTCCTTGGGGCTGCTTTGGGCTTGCCATGCAGTTTTCAGGCGGTCCTGTGACATATTACTGATTTCCTAACAATGATGCACCACCAAGACGACACACACCCTTCCGACCTGCAAGATCGCACAAGTCACAAAACCCATGCGAACCTTTCGGGCAATCCGGGCACCACAAAGCGCATAGACATGCGCATGGATTTGTGGCCTCACAACAAGAATCCGAAAAGCCTCGAAAGCCGGGACCCCCCAAGGTCTGCCAACCCTTTCCTGCAACAGAACCCTTGACAACTCTTGACTCCTGCCGCCACTGCTCCGCGCTCTTGTAGCTGGGAAAGCTCAGGTGCAGCTTCACCTGCCCCCAAACCCTAAGCTTTTGCGGGCATCCCTCGCGAATCTGTTCCAGAGCCCTGAGGCCAATTTGGTTAGGGTTTAGGGTTCAGGGTTCAGGGTTCAGGGTTCAGGGTTCAGGGTTCAGGGTTCAGGGTTCAGGGTTTAGGGTTTAGGGTTCGGGTTTGGGGTTTGGGGTTTAGGCTTTAGGGTTTCGGGTTTAGGGTTTCGGGCCGACCTGTCCTTATACACTAAAATGCCTGCACACAATCCCAAGTCTCCTGCTCACCTCTAATCCTCAGCAAACCTTCGGCCACTCAACCGTAAAGCCGAGTCGTAGACCGAACAGTAACCGCCTTATCATCAGGGTACCCTTTTGGGAGGTTGGTTGCTTTATAACTTGTAAGCGAACCCAGAACAAAACAAAAACAGGTAAAGGGTACCCCCGACCTACCAAGGGCCGAACTTTCGCCCTTCTTGCATCTGGGCTTTTACGGTCTAAAGCTCGAAGCCCTAAACCCTAAACCAGAAACCCGAAACCCTAAACCCGAAGCCCCGAACCCTAAACCCTAAACCCTAAACCCTAAACCTTAAACCCTAAACCCTAAACCGCCTAAGCCC